CCTGGCATTAATGGATACACTGGGTCTCCCAGGATCACTATGGACATTTCAACATCCCCTATGGTGATCTTCTGGGCTGGAAAGAAAGCTTGCAGCTTTCTGTGAAGGCCGGTGTCCTGAAGATATGTCCATCATACACCTTTCTGGACCACTCCACGCTGATGTCAGTGAAACGGCCACGATGATTCACAAGCACCTGCAACACCATGGAGAAGTATTCCTTCCTATTGATGTACTCCATCACAAGGTGGTCCGGTGCCATAATTGGAATATGTATGCCATCTATCACCCCTCCACAGTTAGGGAAACCCATTTCTGCAAAGCCCTCCACTATTTAATGCACATTGCCAAGAGTCAGGGTCTTTTGCAGCAGAATGCGATTAACGGCCCTGCACATTTGCATTAATGCAGCCCCAATGGTTGACTTCCCCACTCCAAGCTGATTTGTGACTGACCAGTAGACCACACTGTGGTCGCCACACACTTCTCCACCATCAGGGCAGCTCTCATTTGGGTGTCCCTGCACTGCAGAGCTGGGGCAAGCTCAGCACACAGTTCCAGGAAGGTGGCTTTCCTCATCCGAAAGTTCTGCAACCACTGCTCGTCATCCCAGACCCGCATAATGATGCAATCCCACCACTCAGTGCTAGTTTCCCAAGCCCAAAAGTGACTTTCCACCGTGTTCAACTGTTCTGTGAATGCCCAAAGCAATCTAATGTTGGCCATATCCATGTCGGACAGCACGTTGGGCAACTGTGATTCCCATTGATTTTGGAGCTTCAACATGAACTTCACTGCCATTCACGATGTGCTAGTGATAGCTGGCAGAGCAGTCAAGAGTATCGGATCCATGGGACATTGAAAAATGCCATGAACTGAAGACAGAAACATATGGAATGCTGGGACGGAAAGCAACGCATTGTGGGACGTTGAGTTCAGATCCATGATGCACTGCGATCCCCTCCACCTTCCCGTAACACCTACTGGCAGAAGGTGGAGAGCTGAACTGTGGGATAGCTACTCACAATGAATTGCTCTCACTGTCGATGCCCGAGGTGTGGATATGCTATGCGGACAGCATATAACAGTGTGAACACACAACATTGATTTTCTTTAAATGCTTTTTGATCATTGACCAAACTCTCCATTAAATAGTTCTGCCACTGTAGACATAGCCTTTCACTGATGGGAGAAACTCTGTCACTGGCATAGGTAATGTTTTCACTAAGCATTACAGTGGCGCAGCTGCATCGCTGTATGTGTAGACAAGCCTGTGGTTAGCGATCCCGACTTCTCACTTTGCAAAGCTTGGTACATTTATTCTATGGCTCTACAACTCTCATATCTAGTCTCTCTGGTGCTGCTTCTCTCCTCATAACCTGGGTCAGATCTGCCCAACAACATCTACAGCACTTGGTACCTGAATCATTTTAGAGCGCAGTTCTGTGCACTGAGAAAAAATGGCAAAGCAGGGTGTGACAAAGTTCCTCCTCTTCCTTGGTGGGTCCTGTGCTTATTGGCGGATTTTCTCGCCTCAGAGGTTCACAGCAGCCCTCAGTAGGGCCACTTTCGTGGCTCAAACCTGCCGTTCACTCAGTTAGCCTCATCACTGGCCAGCATGGGGAAAAGAAGAACAATCCCCACAGTCTCTGCTGATCCACCTAGTGGATCGGGGCACAGGCCAGAGACCTTACCTTCTGGTGGAACCCACAGTCCAGTTCAACTCCTCCGGTATCAAGTAAGGAGTTGGGGGGATGGAGGGATGTGGGGAACCCGGGCCCGCCCTCTACTCCGGGTTCCAGCCCAGGGCCCTGTGGATTGCAGCTGTCTACCATGGCTCCTGTAACAGCTGCGTGACAGCTACAATTCCCTGGGCTACTTCCCAATGGCCTCCTCCCAACACCTTCTTTATTCTCACCACAGGACCTTCCTCCTGATGTGTGATAATGCTTGTACTTCTCAGTCTTCCAGTTGTACACCTTCTCACTCTCAGCTTCTTGCGCCTCTTGCTCCCAGCTCCTCGCACGCGCACCACAAACTGAAGTGAGCTCCTTTTTAAACCCAGGTGCCCTGATTAGCCTGCCTTAATTGATTCTAGCAGCTTCTTGATTGGCTGCAGGTGTTCTAATCAGCCTGTCTGCCTTAATTGTTTCCAGAAAGTTCCTGATTGTTCTGGAACCTTCCCTGTTACCTTACCCAGGGAAAAGGGACCTACTTAACCTGGGGCTAATATATCTTCCTTCTGTCACTCTCCTGTAGCCATCTGGCCTGACCCTGTCACAAGGGGTAGTCAATGATTGTTTCAACAGGGGCATTTAAAAGGTAGGGCAGAGCAAGTGACAAAGTGGTCACTTGTGTTTGACATGTGTCTTGTGTGTTTTTATCTTCCTCTCTCATTTCATTGGGTGGGACTGGGGAGGGAAGGTCTGATGGGGTGCCCACTCCGAACAAGGCCCAAAGGGGTAAATTAGGTCCATTAGCCTACGGGTCACATGTGGAGGAGAGCCAGGGAGTGCTAAGGCCTAGTTTGCTGATGAAGTCCAGCTGTGGGAGGAGCTGGCCAGGTTTATAAAGCCAGGAAGCTGGCAACAGAAGATGGGTCCAGGGAAGTTGTCTGCAGTCACTCCCTGGGAAAAGAGAGAGGTATTGGGGCATTAGAGAGTAGCCTACAGTTTGAGCTGGTATACCCAGAGAAGTGAGGGAACCAGAAGCTGTAGGAAGGAATCCAGGGAAGAAGCAACAAGGGCTGAAGGAAAGCAGACCACTGTTGCAGGTAAAGGGTCCCTGGACTGGAACCTGGAGTAGTGGGCTGGCCCAGGTTCCCCTGCCAGCCACTGGGGAAGTGACACCATCAGAACAGTGCTGGCGAAAACTGCCTGAGACTGTTTGTGTGCAAGGACTTTGGGAAACCCCCAGAAGGGGAAACCACATTGTAACCCAGCCAGATGTCTGAGTCACGAAGAGGAGGCTGCAGTTCCTGGAGTGAGAGGGGCTGCAGTGTGAGACAGGATGGATGAAGACATCACCAGAGGATGGTGCAACGCCTGGCAGAGCTAATCCCCAGGATGGCCAGGAGGAGGCGCCACCTGCATTGAGTGAACCCCATCACAGAGGGGCAGGTTTCTCTCTTGCCCAACAGCCTGTGAATGGGTATAGCTCAAACATGAGTGAGTCCCTTAGAAACCTGAACAATCCCTCTTGCCTCATTCTGCATTTCCTTGTGATGAAGGGCAAGGATCTACATTTTGGGACTGTCGAGTGCATTCTCAGATACCTCGCACCCTAATTCCATTGGTTATTACTACCTACAGGTACAAAAGTGTGTATGTGTCTGCTCTCACACTGGAGACAACAGGACAACCCCCAACCATAACCAGGAACTAACACTCTCAAATCTGTTTTCAGTTTCCTCTTTCCCAAAACATCTGGCATCTCTTTGACATAATGACAGGTTTCAGAGTAACAGCCGTGTTAGTCTGTATTCGCAAAAAGAAAAGGAGTACTTGTGGCACCTTAGAGACTAACCAATTTATTTGAGCATGAGCTTTCGTGAGCTACAGCTCACTTCATCCGATGATGGTTAGTGTCTGTGCTAGTGATGGTGTTGTCTCTGGACTCAACAGTCCACATTTCTATGGAAAATAAAAATTCAAGTCAAGATTTCTGCCCATAAATGGAGTCACAGCCATAGAGTCACAGAATTTAAGGCCAGAAGGGACCACTAGATCATCTGGTCTGATCTCCTGTATGTCACAGGCCACCAGCACCACCCAGCATCCACACACTAAACCCAACAATCAAAATTAAACCAAAGTATAACAGCCCACATAAGAGTAAACTATTGTGTGCCATAGGCAGAGAGTAGGAGACACCAAGATGCACCAGAGCCCGATGCCTTTGTAATGGCAGGAAAATGATTATGTGAGATATAGCCAAATAGTCCTGGCATGTGACCCGGACCCACACACTGCAGAGGAAGGTGAAAACTCCCCAACATCACTGCCAATCTGCCTTGAGGGAAATTTCTTCCCAACCCCATGTATGGTGATCTGTTAGACCATGGCATGTGAGCAAAACCAGCTAGTCAAGCACCTGAGAGATAATTATCAGTGCCACCTCAGAGCATTGGCCCACTCCATCCAGTGTCCCATCTCCAGCTGTGGCCTACTCTGAAGGAAATCAAAAAATACCCAGAATACATTGGGGTAAAAAAATCCCTTCCTGACCCCTGCAGGTAACCATCTGAAGCCTGAAGCCTGAAATTTTAGGAACACTGGACATGAACCATAAGGGATCCCACCATCACAGGCAATCCCATCATACAACCTCACTCAAAAATTTGTCCAGCTCTCTCTTAAAAACTAAGTGCTTACATTGGTAAATATATTCTTAGGTTGTGTATAAGCTTTGGGGCAAATTCCACCCCCAGTTATGCCCAATCAGTGCCACTGAAGCCAATGGAGTTGCAGGGGTGTAACTGAGGCTGAAATGTGGCCTTTCACATAACTGGTAGCTGGAAGATGAGGAAAGGGAATCAATCCCTAACTCAGGGTGGCCAAAGTGTAACTAGCAAGGCTACAAACTTCTAAAATGAGAGTCCTGTGGCTCCCATGATCTTTAATTTGGATGCATGGCCCAGAGACTACAAGTCCCAGCATTCCTTGCATATTGGGCCAGGTCTCCATAAGCAGATCCCACCTCCATATTTAAGTTGCAGGCCTCTGCATCCAGGTCCATTTTATGCACAGTGGGTGTGACCCTGGGGCTTCTGGCAAGAAGTCAGTGCAGCCCTTGGCTAGGCAATGTTTGGGTACCTCAGGCCTCATTAATGTGAGTGACGGATGATTTCGCCCCTACTCTCATAGAAAATGTACTGTTACCAATGTCAGGCAATGGAGTGAGTATTCCACAGACAGCATCAGCCAGGGAAAGGATTTAATTATCCTCGTGTGTGGAGAAACTTCAGTGTAAAACAGGGCATGAATTCCCTGTCTCCTTACTGTGCCGTGTTCTCGTCAGGCTCAGTGTGCTTTCTAGTGGTAGGAGGCTCAGATTGGGTAGTAGATATGTTCTCATTCTCAGCATCCTCAGTATTGCCCTTCAAGGGAGAAAGCCTAGGGGAGAAAATAGAGGTTTTCTTAAGAACATGTGAAAAATTAATATATTGGACTTGTGGAAATCTATTCCAAAGATGGGAACCATCAGGCTGAAAGCTGGAAAAATATTATGGTAGGCTTCAGCTTTTCAAAGTTGCCTCAGAGATTTGAATGTACAATTCCAACTGAAATGAGTGGGCATGAGGTGTTTAAATCCCCTAGCTGGCTTTGAAAATCTTAGCTAAAGGCCTGTTGTCTGTGAGAGTCACAGAGGGAAAATATTAGCCACTGGAGCATTTACTTCTGCCAGACGTAGGTTCCTTCCTGCTAGCATTGCTCTGATTCCCTCCACTGACACAAGCCCCACAGAAAAACACGCATATTGAACACAGAATCTAGGCAGTGTCCTTGAATGCCTGGATAACACTGAGTTACATCTCTGGGCCAAACTTCTGCTACTCACTAATATTCACTGCATCATACTGATGTAAATGGGTAGAGCTGGGTGAAATTTTTTGGGTGAAAAATGCGTATTTCGTGTCATGAGTGTTCTGAGCCTGATGAGTCATCAGAGATAATTCCCTGTGAGTCCTAAGGGCCCAGCCAATCCATAAGCAAGGGTCTGACCAGGTGACCCCGAGGCAGGTACATAGGTTCCTAATGGAAGCAGCCACCCAGGCGCTGCCTTCTAATTTTCCCGGAGAATGCTCAACCCCCAGTCAGCCCCATGCCCCTCCCCCACTCCACCCCTTGCCCCAGGGCCCCATCCCACCCCGCCTCTTCCCACCCCCACTCCACGCCCACCCCACCTCTTCTCTCCCAAGTGCAGTCTGTCCCCACTCCTCCTCCTCCTTCCCAGCACCTCCTACACGCAGCATGTAGAAGGCACTGAAAGGGATGGGGAGGAGTTGATTGGCAGGGGCAGCCGGCAGGCAGGAGTAGGGAGGAGGGGAGCTGGCTGCCGGTGGGTGCTGAGCACCTGTTAATTTTTCACCATGGGTGCTCCAGCCCTGGAGCGCCCACAGAGTCAGCACCTATGGCAGCCACTTCAACCTGCCCAGTGTTACTACTTTTTTGGGATACTCCCAGCTGCCTGGTAGTTCTGAGAGACTGCTCCTCCCCTGTCCCTGCTCCAACCACAGCAAGTTGCCTGGCTGTCCTGACATTTGGTGACACTGAACTGTTGTGCTGATTTCACCAAACTGTTTGTTTTGGGGGGGAAATTCCAAAAAAATTGAAAGATTCTGTTTTTACATCTTGGAAAGGAAATGTTTTGACTTTTTAGTTTGAAAACATTCCTTCCCCCCTGTGACATTCTATGCCTTGGGAGAACCGTACTGTAACCCCCATATTCTTCATTTTCATATAATCGTGATCTCACATATAAAGCATGACTTGTAAGGTATCAGGGGAAAGGTTTGAATCTGCTGAAAGTCATTTCTCTATCCATATATGTGTATCATTAATTCATATGAAGTTATGAGAACTGTGTTGTATGGTGGTCACTAAAACCTGCTGTAAACTGGGAAATCAGCCAGATATTAGCTCCCCAGAGGCTAAGGAAAGTATTAGCTCCCAAGGAAAGTAATCAACGCCCGGGCAGGGTATCAAATAGCCCATCAACAGCCATTGTCCAGCAAGGGAGCTACAGTGCAATGACTCACCTGCATGAGGCCTCACCAGGGGAATTGCTCAACCTTGCTTGGAGAGACTCAGCAATGCCACACAGACATGCCTGGACTTGTGTTCTACAAGCACATGGACTGAGAGTATAAAACAGGCAGAGTGGACACATACTGGGCCCTTCTCCTGCCCCACCTATGCTGCAAGCAACCAAGACACTGAGAAGAAGACAAGACTCCAAGACAGGAGATTGGCCTAGGTTTAAGGAACAAACCTGTATATTAAGGACTACAATATCCAGTGGGGTGAAGTGAGCTGTAGCTCACAAAAGCTTATGCTCACATGAATTTGTTAGTCTGTAAGGTGCCACAAGTACTCCTTTTCTTTTCACTTAATCGAGTTGTTGCTCAGTCTAATTAGGTTGAGAGTTCAGACTGCGTGCTTATATTAATTTTATTCTGGTAACCACTCTGACTTGTTATGCTTTGACTTATAATCACTTAAAATCTATCTTTATAGTTAATAAATCTGTTTGCTTATTCTACCTGAAGCAGTGCGTTTGATTTGAAGTGTGTCAGAGACTCTCCTTGGGATAACAAGCCTGGGACACTGCAAGACTGGTATAACTGGACACTGCAAGACGGAGGTTCCTAGGGTTGTGTCTGGGACTGGAGATATTGGCTAGTGTGCATGAACAGTCCAGGAGTGGGGGTTCTCACTGCAGTGCAAGGTAAGGCTGGCTCCCAGAGTCAAGGATTGGAGTGACCTAGCAGACCACTGGTCCGGATAACACCAGAGGGGAACGTCACACCTCCCCACCCCAACTTTTCTAAATTGCCAGCAAATGGACAAATCCTTTATTTACCCAGCTCTGTTGATGGAGTGATGTGGTTTGTTACTCGGAGCAGAAACTGGCCTTTTGACTTTTCATTGGACAATGTCTGAACTTTCATCATCCAAATTGCTCTCCTGTGACATCAGAGTTGGGATTGCCTGGTGTTATGGCTCATGGTTTAGTCTAAAGCAAAGGGGTTAGAGAGAAATGCATTTCTGTGGTTTTGAGTGGGATAGGAATAAAATAAGATGGAGGAATTATTCAGCTGAGTAACTAACTTTGGTGTATGCATTGTTGTTGTAGCTACATTGGTCCCAGGATATAGAGAGACAAGGTGGGTGAGTTAATAAAAGATATTACCTCACCCACCTTGTCTAGCTAACTTTATGTTAGTCCCACTGATTGATTACCCTCTGTGACACAGAGCCAGAAAGGGTTACACAACTAGCAGGCTAATTGACCCAGATTCAACCTTTAGAGACATTTTACTAGATAATGTTTGTGGTTTTGTGTGTTTACATACATATTGTTAGAGGTTAACAATATAACCAAACAGTTCCTGTCTATTGCTGTATTCTGTTAATTCAGAGATCAAAAGGAGATATTAACATTTAAATGAACTGTGAATGTAGTGATATCACTGTCTTGATTTCTCTTTTAAGTATATAGCAAACCACTTGCAAATGGTGGGAGATAAGCAATTGCCTTATGTTAATCCATGTAGCTAATTACCGAAGATGTTTAGGAAATAGGTTACTTCAAAAACACTATTGTTCGCCCAAGGACCTCATGCAGTCAAGACGCTGCTCAGAAAATGTATAAAAGCCTTTTGGGACCTGATCCTTTCATCTCAAATCTGCTTATGCTTCATCAGGGGAAGTTTGAGTCACAAGATTGAGATCTCCGCTTCCATTCCGGGTTACCCTGATATTGAACATTGGACTGAACCTATGGACTAATTCTAAAAGAACTCTTTGCAACTCTAAAGCTCACCATCTCTACTATGAAACTAACCTTAGAACTTTATTCATGTCTGTATGTATAATGATCTTTTAACCAATACTCTTTCTTTTCTTTTTATTAATAAATTTTAGTTTAGTTAATAAAATTTGGCTATAAGCATGTTTTGGGGTTAGATTTAAAATATTAATTGACCTGGAGGTAATGTGTCCATCCTTTGGGATTGGTAGAACTTTTATATGATGAACAAGATTTTCAATAATCCTCATCATATTTGACTTCGCTGTCTGGGTGAGAGCCCAAAGCCTGAGTTGCTTCAAGATAACTGTGTTATCGGCTTCTGGGTAACCAATATGTTATTATAAAAGCTGTTTTGTTGCTAGCTTCATGTATCTAAGCATTAGAATAACCACTGGTTTGGGGGCTTGTCTGCCCCATTCTTTATAGTTTGCTCTAAGTGAGTAATTTTGGCGTTGCCCCCCCGGGACCCTGGTCACACCAGTTTGTAGTAGTTTGTGGTTCTATTACTCTCATGTCTTATCTCTCTGGAGGCGCTTCTCTCTCCACACTCTGTGGCAGAGCTAACAAAGAAGGAGAAAACCCATTAACACAATATCTGAACCACCTGACGGCTAAGCTAAATGCACAAAGAAAGAGAAGTCGGTCAAGGTCTTGTGTCAATGGGGATCAATTTCAAAATTGTGCTCCAGGATGCCAAGCAACTGACATGGGGACTGATCCTGAAAAGAGCAGAACACCTCCCAAAAGGGACATGCATCTTCAGTTCCCATGAATTTTCAGTGGAAGTGCAGAGTAATGACTATTTCACAAGATGGGATCAGCACCTTGTAGGCACACGGCTCTAATCCTATTTTAGACACACATTTAGACACATAGCGCTCTAAGTCTGTGACCTTAGATTAAGGCTGAACTTTACAAGGATTCTAGTTGGATTTCTGTAGGTTTCCTGGAAATTAACATTATGCTTCTGCATCATGTCCAGCCCCAACTCACAGGACACGAGGGCTATGAATATGGTCCACAGAATCTCTAGTGTCCACTTATGGTATTTATTGTGAATTTTGCAGAATGATGATAATTCTGTACATAAAAACAGCCATACTGGGTCAGACCAAAGGTCCATCGAGCCCAGTAGCCTGTCTTCTGACAGTAGCCAATGCCAAGTGCCCTAGAGGGAATGAACAGAACAGGTAATCATCAAGTGATCCATCCCCTGTCCCCCATTCCCAGCTTCTGGCAAACAGAGGTTAGGGACACCATCCCTGCCCATCCTGGCTAATAGCCATTGATGGACCTATTCTCCATGAATGTATCTAGTTCTTTTTTGAACCCTGTTATAGTCTTGGTCTTCACAACATCTTCTGGCAAGGAGTTCCACAAGTTGACTGTGTGTTGTGTGAAGAAATACTTCCTTTTGTTTGTTTTAAACCTGCTGCCTATTAATTTCATTTGGTGACCCCATGTTCTTGTGTTATGCGAAGGAGTAAATAACACTTCCTTATTTACTTTCTCTATACCACTCATGATTTTATAGACTTCTATCATATCATAGAATCATAGAATCATAGAATATCAGAGT